CTATATTTTAAGAATTTTATTAATAAGTATCCTAAGGACACTTGTTAATGATGCATTAAATGTACTCAACAACCTCTACTATCATAAAAAAATATAAAACATTACAAATACACCTTACCTATAGACTAAACTATACCTGTTTTTTTCTTCTAATTTCATATATTTTAACATTATATACTTTTCAAAATAGAGTATTTCTAAAAAAAATATTTTTTTATCATAAAGGTAAATGTCCATTATTTTTAAATGACATTTTGTATTTTTTTTAAAATATTCTTTATTTTGAATCCTTAGAACCTTAATATGCAATGGTGATAGTGAATGACAATGTTGAAGCATTTGTTTTTAAATAAATTCATATTCCTTTATTGATTGATCTTATAAATTTCTTTTTCTATCTGTTATAATTTTTAAATTCATTTTTTTACCATATAATTTAATTATGATTGAAAATAAATAATATTTAAAATTTTAAAAAAATTATGAAATGTTATTTAAAATAAAGGACATTTACTTTATGATAAAAAAAATGTTTTAAAAAAAAATTCTATTTTGAGAAGTATAGAATGTTAAAATATATGAAATTGGAAAAAAAGGATAATTAGTTCTACAAGAAAAATGTATTTATAGTGTTTTATATTTTCTATGATAGTAGAGGTTGTTGAGTGAATTTAATATATCCTAACAAAATCCATATTAACTGGCCTTCAATAGTCCTGATCTGTCTGAATAGTTTCAACATTTATTTGACTATCTTCCAAACAACTAGAAACAACATACAAGCAAACCCACCTGATAGTTTCAAATTTGCCTCTAAATTGTCAATGAAATGACCAAAAAAAAAAACCCTTGTGCTTGTACCCTATCTCCCCAAACCATAAACTTCTATCTATGGTTGCCTGCAAATAGGAAATGGCTGAGAAGACAATACCCAGGTAATTGACTCTCTCTCTCTCTCTCTCTCTCTCCTCTTTTATGGGTCTATCTCCACTTTTCTGTAATTGACTCTCTCTACTTTTTTTCTGTATAAACACCTCTCTCTCTCTCTTGGTGGAGTCTCCTTGCTTGTGGCTGGGATAATGGTTAAAAGTTAATTCTGCATCTGATGAACATTTTGGGTCTTTCTCACCGGTCATCTTCCCAGTTTCCGGTCGCCGGCCGTCCATTCGTCGAGCCTACAGATTTGTCCATCCATCTTCCCGCCGTTTTGATTCCTCCATTCCTCCTCTCTTTTTCTTTTCTGGTTTTAGGACTCAGTTCAAAATGTAGGAAGAGAAAACAGAGGAAGGAAAAAAGAAAAAAAAGGAATAAAACGACATAGTTTAATTAGCACTACAGGATCCACTGCAGGAAAACATTGCAGAGGATCCGGACTCATTTCAAAGTACATCATAATTTTGGGCAATACGATGACGCTGGATGATATTCCATGTGGGATGTATTAATTCGTTTATTAATTAATGTATTAATATATATTATGATATTTTTATTTTAAAATTATGACTATATTTATTATATAAATTATAAATATTTAAAATATTTAAAATTATGTTATATTATTTATTAATATAATTGATATAGAGTTTAAGTTATTTATACGGTTGTGCCATAAATCACTTACATACGGTCAACAAATAAAACATGGCCATGTTAGCTAATTTATGGACTACGACCTCATAAGAAAACAGATTATTTTAATATTTTTTTAATTTTTTATTAAATGATGGGCAGAAAAATAAAAAAAATTAATGTGACAATTTATAATATTTTTTTAATTTTTTAACTAAAATATATAATCAACAAATAAGACTTACATAAGAAATACTATGTTCTCTCTTTTCTCTATTTCTCTCACTTAACCTCTCTTCCTCCCCATTTGGTTTCCTCAACTATCAACCCCCCACCTCTTCTAACCAACCCCCTCCTTTCTCGTAGCAACTGTGCCTTTTCCGAGCCCTTTCCTCAATAAAACCCGTCTCTCTCATCCTGTTATCATGATTGAATTTCTTCTCTAGGCCTCAATGAGATCCATTATGTGCATCTTAGGATATGAGATTTCTATTTGGAATGTGAGGTGGTTTTTTGAAATTTTGACTTTTTAATTATTTTAGTTTGAGGTTAAAAATTTTTATTTAGGATAGATTTTTTGGTTTTTTTTTTATACTTTCGTGAGAAAAAAAATAAAATGATTATAGGTTGGATGTGACATTTTATTATATTTAACTAAATAACTTATTTTGTCCAATATAACTATTTTAGTCCAAACACTCATTCCAAACGGGATAGATACTTTGATATGCCATATACAAACAAATAGATAAAGGTGAACTAGTGCTTGTTATCAAATATTTAAACAATACTGATTAAGAGCTCTAAAAGATCAGCTCTAAATAGGTAGCATCCAATGTGTGAAGATGAAGCACATTTGCATATATAGTGCGTGTGTTTCACGCACTATGTAAAAATAATAAAAAATAAATAAATAAGTAAAAGAAAGAAAATTTCTGCTCATATCTAGATTGCTGTTCTAAGTTAAGGCTCTATTCCAGCTCTAGAAAATGATTTTGAAATTTGAAATCAATGAGAAAGAGAGAGAAAATGGCGAGTTAGCAACAGCTAATGCCACGTCGGCACCATGTCATTAACGCAGCTCTAGAGCTCGTGCTTTAGAGCTCCGAAACATTATAAAAGATAATAGAAATCATGCCCTTCCCAACTCAAGTTTCACATCTCCAAACAACCACAAAAACATAGCACGATAAATTTTCGATATCAGATAGGGATGTGATTAGGGGTGTGTGTGGTGTGATTCGAGAGTAAAATTATAAATCAAAAGATAAATTTACAAATCGCAGTTTGAACAGTTTTAGGCGGATCAACGGATTGAAGAATATTTTAACAAATTATCAAGTATTTGCATAATATATAATACTAAGTTGAATAATATTATATATATATATATATATATATAACACCAGCTAAATTTATATAATATATTTCATATGTATAACTTTTAATATGTAACAAATTTCACATTTTAAATCTCTTTTATACTCATTTTTACTTTAATATTTCATTAGAGGTTGCAAAAATATATATGTATTAATTATAGTGGGGTGTGGTGGTTTCAAAGATGGATTATAAAATTTAAAGTTTAATCTATAGTCAGAGAATTGAATGGTGTGAATTAATGCAAATCGATATGATTTTAACAGATTAAACAGTGTTTTACAGAGTCCAAGATGTGACGGTGGTCGATAGTCAAGGTTTTTGGTATTTCAATTTGAGGGGTAGCTTTGATTTTTACACAATTCAAAGTTGGAAATTATAGACTATTTCTAGAGCATTATGTGTCCACATTCTTGACCAATCATAATTTATTCTACCTCCTCATCTTTCTTAATTAGTCAACATAATATCCCACTTATTCACTTTTTTCATTAATTACAATATTATAAAGGATAAATTACAAATACACCTTCTGAGGTTTGATTAAAATACGAAGTACTCCCTGTGATTTTGAAAATTACATTTTATCTCCTGAGATTTTTAATTTCATAACAAATCGTTATTTTTATTAATAAATCATCAAGTCAATTAACAGTTTTTAATGATGTTAAAAATATGTTTCCATTAATAATTTAGGTAATTTTATTATTGTATAAGAGAGCAATTATGTATTTTATTTTTTTAATTAATTTTGTTAAATAAAAAATTTTAATAAGGCGATATTTATAATTTTTCAAATCATAAGAAATAATTTATATTTTAAACAAATTTCAAAATAATATATTTATAATTTATCCTATTATAAAATATTAGGTATTTATGAGAGGTTGTTTGGGAAGGAAAAGCCCAGGCTTTTTTGGCTAAAATAGCCATAAAAAACAAAATAGGCTATTTTAGCCACAAAAAACAAAACATCAAATCCAACCCATAATCATTACAATCCTCTCTCACAAAAAAAGTCAAAAAAGCTAAAAAGTCAAAAAGTCATTCCCAAACCACGCTAAAATAGCCCAGGCTAAAAAAGCCAAAAAGCCAACCTACTTCCCAAACGGAGGCTCAAAATACAACTCCACACTCAAATCATAAATATAAACACAAACCAAACGCTACCTTAATTCCTCGTTTCTTTGCAATTTTATCAACAATGATAGAGATAATTAATTTTGGAACTTTAAAAAGATCACTAATGATATAACATTCAATAAAAAAAGAAAAAAAATACAGCATCAAGGTCAAAACATCAAATCATTCATAGTGGGGCCCACTGTCACATCATTAGTGATAGCACTAATTAGTGCTCTCACTCATTTTCCCAATTTTATATTGGCTCACCGTAAAATTGGAATTCTCTACTTGCAGTCGTTTAAATAGTTAAATCTAAACCGTCGGATCATCTTAAAATATATTTCTATCATTGCAAGTAAGAAAATAAGGAAATAATTCAAGTAGAGGATCTGGACTCGTTCATGGTACATCAGTATAAAATTTGGGGTATACTATATAAGCACACTTTTTGTTTTTTTATCTTTTTTGGATCACATTATATCTCTACTTTTTTATACATCTTTTCGTAAAAAATCAAAAAGTATAAATTTTTTTTTATAAAAAATCTAATTTTTTTTTATAGTACAATTATTATATTTTCAAAATATTAATTTTTTAAAATTATCCTTTAATAGTACAATTTTTTTAAAATATTAATTGTCATAATTATATTTTTTATATTATTAATAAATTTAAAAATAATCAAAATAATAAATTCATATTATTTTATTTCTTAATTTTTTAAAAAAATTAATATTTTAAAATAATAATAAAAAATTAATATTTTAAAACAAAGAAAATACAATTATATATCAATTAATACATGTGATATTATTCGCTATTGTGTTGTATTGACTACTATTGAATTATAATATTATTCGCTATTGTATTGTATTGACTAGTATTGTATTGACTACTGTAATTGTTGTTTGCTCCCACCCACCCACCAACCACCACGCCAACTCTCACACGAAAAATGAGACGCGAGCGATCAAGTAAACCCCCCCAATGTCACTTTCATCACGCTCTCGCTCTCCTTCTCTGTTCAATGGCAACTTTGTCGCCTCCGTTCCTCTCATTATCACAATCTCACACTCAAAAGAAAAAACCCATCTCAGTCTCATCACTAATCTCTTACTGTTTTACATCTATGTATATATATATACCCACATAAATGCACTTACCCAATTCTTTTCACATGAATGAATCGCTATAAGGATTCTTGACTAGGGTTCTGGATTTTTATGAGGTTGGGTCTTTGACTCAATTGTTGGTTATTATGTATATATGAAAGTGTTTATATGATTGAAAATTGGGAATTGGGTGTATTGGACTGAAAGAGAAGACCTTGTCCAGGTGTTTTTAGTAAGTGAAAGCCATGAATTTCAGTTGCTTTGGAGGATTCAAATCTTGTAAACAGAAGACTTTGGCACAAGAACAAGGTAAGGACATGAATTTGATTCTATGGATATGTATCTATCAAACAATTCCTTCAACCACCGACTCCATCAATCTTTAGTGACTGTATTGTGTGAATTATTTTGTTTATTGAAATTCAGTATCTGTTGAAGTGGCTCTCCCACTCTACCAACCCCATTAGAGAGTGGAAGAAGGTAGGTGGTGACCAATGAGGCTCTCCCTCATTGGTGTATAAATAGAGGTTGAGGGGAGAGTTGAAATAGACAGAGAGAGAGTGAGAACCAAGAGAGATCAGAAATTGAGTGTGAGAGCTGTGAGTTGAGTGAGTTTTATCTCCTCCTCTGTATTTTGTATTTTGCTCCATTTTAGTGATAATTCTTATTTCTGTCCGTGGATGTAGGCATTGGGCCGAACCACGTAAATATTGTGTTCTCTGTGTGTGTGAGATAATTCTCTGGGTGTCTTTGATCCTAACAGATTCTATGGATATGTATCTATCAAACAATTCCTTCAACCACTGACTCCATCAATCTTTAGTGACTGTATTGTGTGAATTATTTTGTTTATTGAAATTCAGTATCTGTTTGATGCAAAACGTCTTTTTCTCTTTTCTTGTTAATATTTAGTTTGTGATGTTTTTGAGTTAAAAGAGGTGAAGGATGGAAAAATTACCCGGTCCAATTGTATTTGTCCCAATTTGATTCTAATAGAAAAGGTTTAGAAGAGCATTGGGGAGAGGAGTAAGTAGGTCAAAACTGTCAGGGTCAGGATAAGTATGAAGTTGTATCACTAAAATATTTGAGTTTTAAATCAAGAACTTGCGCCCAAAACCCAAAAAACCCCTACCCGTTGTTTGAACTTAATGGCTTGAAAAGAGACAAGAAATGGTTCATTTGGTGCAATAATTCAATTTGGCATGCATTGTTTGGTGGCTTCGTATTTGTGGGGTTTCGTTTGGTCACTCTTTGGGGTTGATTGGGTTCAACCAAAGGGGGTATTGGATTTGCTTTGGGCTTGGCGAGGTGTCCGGCTCGGGCTTCGACGTCGGCAGGTGTGGTTACTATGTTTGATGTGGGTTGTTTGGTTGGAGCGAAATAGACGCGCCCTTTTAGAGGTTTTTCATGGTGTTTCTTGGTTACAGAATCATCTTCTTATAGTTATGTATAGTTGGTTGGAGGGGAAGGTAGATCCGGATTTATTTGTTTTTTTAGACTTTTTAGATGAGGTGATTGGTTAGCACTTGTTTTTGTTCTCCCCAAATTGGGGTGGCCTTATTGGATTTGTTGCATCATCTTGATGCTTTCTCAATAATATTTTATCAAAAAAAAATAAGTCTTGACTGATCTTGTATATGTGTCTGTTTCAAAAACCTATTGGGTACCCATTTCAATTAAGTGTTTAACAATGGGTTTTTCCTAATGTATTTTGATGGAATATAAGGTCCAGAATATTTGTTACTACGTGGAATGCATATCAGACATTAGTGTTTAAATATTTGAACTTTAGCTATGATGTACTTTTTAACATATATATTTTTTGGTGTCTACAAGTTAATCTATACGAATGTCTAAACTTGAATCCTATATTACATGTGCCTTGATGAAATATAGTTCATTGCTTTTCAAAGTATTAGCTTCAGGTTTGTTTGGAGACTCACCTCTATGATCGCCTAGTTTTTGTTAACGGTTAATCATTATTTGAAGGTAGTAATCTAATTAAGTATCTACGGCTCAATGTGCATTGTGCTAGGGATTAGGCTAAGCCAAGAAGACTGAAGCCTGCACAGTGGTCTCATCCTAATCTATATAATCATGGCTTAAACTGTTCAAGTTCAGCTGAACATAGTGTTGGGCCTGCCTAGCCTTTTATGTTGCTTCGTAGATTGACATTTCCTCATCCTATAAATTCTGCCCCAAAAAAAATTTGTTAGTTTTTAATTTGGACGACATGTGAGAAAGTGATTCTTAAAAGACCATTATGTTTACTAAAATATATCATCAAAAAGTGCCAAAGCACATAATACAAGTCCACAGGAAGGTTGCATGGACAAGAAGAAAGCTATAGGAGACCTAACTAAACCAATTGTACCTTTGAAAATCAGTAAAAGAGTTCAACGAAAAAGAAAATTTCTGTGAACCATAGTGTTTTCTCTTGTCCCATGTGCAGACCATAAAACTTGTAAGGTTCAAATTTGCACATTTACCTTCAGTTTTTTGTGTTGTTAAAGAATTACAATGCTATTTGCAAATATTTCCTTTTGTTCTATTTGTAGTTTCTCCTTAATGTTCTGCACAATGTATTCACACGCTTGTGTATTTTATTTGGCTGTCCTTGTTAGAGATTTCTACCAACCATGTGAGGCTCTTTTCGTATAATTCATTGAGATCAGCAACAAAGGACTTCCATCCATCGAGCAGAATAGGCGGAGGTGGTTTTGGGGTTGTCTTTAGGGTAAGTGAATGAAATTATGTTGTACTAGTTAACTATGTAGTTACTTTAGCATCTCTTGCTTGACAGAGGGTAAGAGAAAATAAAATTTTAGATTGCTTGGTACCTCATATATGTGCAAACATGCTTGTGCAGCCAAATTTTCCCATTTTCTGTTTTATTCCCTCTCTTTTTTTGGATTTGATACTTACCAGGGATTTACTACATATAAGTGCAGGGAGTTTTAAGGGATGATACTCATGCCGCCATCAAGTGTCTTTCTGTTGAATCAAAACAAGGGGCCAATGAGTTTTTGACAGAGATTAATTTGATTTCAAATGTCCGACATCCGAACCTTGTTGAACTGATTGGTTGTTGTGTCGAGGGAAACCATCGGATATTGGTGTACGAATATCTTGAGAACAACAGCCTTGCTAGCGCTATACTTGGTAATTCCCATAATGTTAAAATTAGTTGTTACTAGGTGGTTCTGATTTTGGTTCTAATGGATTAAAAAGGAAAACATAAATCATAAAATACAGTGTATGTACTAAAATCAAAACTGTAAGAATAGAAATTTAAGATGACTTGTGGTTCCACATTTTCACTCCATAACCTTTTTACTGATATTAGTAAAGTATTTTTTAGTTAAAGGTTACCTCAAGCCAATTGTGGAATATGGGGAAGTGAAGCAACCGGGTTCCTTTTTTCTTTCTTTCTTTCTTCTTTTTTTTTTACTTGGTATAATCTATCTATATTTATCTGTGCTTGACAAAAAAAATAAATTTGCTTTATAAATTTGTATACACACATATGTATGTATATGCTAATATAATGAGTTATTTCGGGGCAAACAAATATCTGAAGTCTTTCGTTTCAGGTTCAAAAGGTAAACGTGTTCCTCTGGATTGGCCTAAGAGAGCTGCTATTTGTATGGGTACGGCTTCTGGTCTTGCATTTCTTCATGACGACGCAGAACCAAATATTGTCCACCGTGATATAAAGGCCAGCAACATACTTCTTGATGAAAGCTTCAATCCAAAAATAGGAGATTTTGGGTTGGCAAAACTTTTTCCAGACAATGTCACTCATATTAGTACTCGAGTGGCAGGAACAGTGTAAGCATTATTTTTTATTGCATTTCATTCTTTTTATGTTGCCTAGGTGAACTACCTGAATTATGGCCCTGTTGGGAAATTAGTTAGCTTAGATGATGAAATAAAATTTAAACTAAAATAAATTTAATTCACCCAAAAAGAAATAAAATTTAAACTAGAGTCTGTAGGTACAGTATAGGGTTGCATTATTTATTTTAGGTCGCTTCCTCTTTGATAACTGTAAAACGGGTATAGCTTGCTCTTTCTTTTACAATGGTAGAATTTTCAGCCAGTGGTGTGATGCACAATTTTATTATTTGACAGAATATCTACTTTAGTTCCTTTAGACTTTTATTTTGGTTACTTGCTTAATGGGAGGAGTAATTGTTGGCTGCTGATCCATGGGATGCACTCTAGCGATGCATTATGAAGTGTGTGCTTTAAGTTACCAATGGCATGTGTTGGTCTTTCTTAAAATTAATTGCAGCGAATGTGCCTTACCTATTATTTCTAGCAATGTTGGGAAAGTTTGAACTTGGTATAATTTACCTAATGACATGAAGAGGTTATTTTTAAGAAAAATATAATGGTGGTTTGCAGTATAAATGATTCTTTCAAAAGATCTGTTACTTTGCTTATGTGCTATATATGCACAATGTGATTATTATTTGCATCCTTATTATCTTTTGTACCATGGCAAGGTAGAATTCTCTGCTCAGCTATGCTATCCTCTCCTCTCTCTCTCCTTTTTTTTTTTTGTTTCTTCTATTTGTTGCTTCCTCTCTGTATCTAAATGTTCATTTAAATTCTGCAGGGGATACCTAGCCCCTGAGTACGCCTTGTTAGGACAGCTTACGAAGAAGGCAGATGTGTATAGCTTTGGGGTACTTTTACTTGAAATAATAAGCGGCAGAAGTAGTAGTAAGGCAGCATTTGGAGACGATCTGTTGGTTCTGGTGGAATGGGTAGGTTTTGGAATTATTATCTTGATTACACTGACCATTTAGCAATTTTATAATTTATTTATTTTATTTTCAAGAAAACATGAGAAAAAATGGAAAATGTGGGCCCCGTGGTGTCTTATCACTGCTTAATTGGAGGAGCATTTATGAGATTCAAAGTCATCTGTTCTTATCATAAAACTTCATATGGTGCACAATATTCATACCATCCATTCAAAGGGAAAGTGATTTTGTATTATGTGCTTTTTCTGTTCATATTTCCAACAAATTTTCAATGTACTTGGGGAGCCTATTGATAATTTAGGTCCATAAAATTGGAAATTCTTCCCGTTGGATGACTTCTAATCTCAAATTTGAAGCCGTCCCCAATTTTGTGTTCCACATTCCTCTTCTTCCTACACCTAGTCTGACGTCTACATAGAAACGGCTGTGGAAATTATGTCACTCTGTTAGAATTATGCAATTTCATGACACCCGACTAGGTTTCGCCTATGTATCTCTCTTTTGTACAAAAATAACCTAGTAGAGAATTTGGGAATTTAGGCTTCATTCAACTATAGATGTAATTATGTAATCCATCTGTGTATATGAACTAGGGACTCAAAATTTTCTCCCGCCAAAATCTTTAGAAGTCAAAACTAAAATGACTATTATTTACAAGTCAGTTATTTTTATACATGTGTTGACATAAATAACAACGTTGTTGCAGACATGGAAGTTGAGAGAAGAAGGTAGCCTTCTTGCCATTGTTGATCCCGAACTGGCTGAATATCCTGAGAACGAGGTAATACGGTTCATCAAGGTCGCACTTTTTTGCACCCAAGCAGCTTCTCACCAAAGACCGAGCATGAAACAAGTGGTGGAAATGCTTTCAAAAGAGGTTCACCTCAAGGATAACTTATTGACGGAGCCGGGGGTCTATAGGGCGCATACCTCTCGGGGTTTGGTTGGTACTAGTTCGCATGAGACATCATCATCGACAAACAAAGGCAAGCAATCGATAAACCCTTCTGAAACTTCAATCCAGATGGATAGCTCTCACAGCGTGACACAGATGCTTCCTAGGTGATATACATCATCCACCGTGTGCCGCGTAAATTTATATTATATTTTAAACTATTGCCTTGTTAGTCATAACCTTTTAACTGCCCTTTTTTCTCTCCCCTCATAGGTGCCGGTAAAATAGTCTGCTCTTTTGGAGTTTCTTCTTCTTCTATTCTTTTTGGGGCATAGTAAATTTTTTGTTTTGCTCACCATGGCTTAACAGTTGTATTATATTTTTTGTTAACCTAATAAAAATGATTTGGTTGCCACGTGTCGTGTGTTGCATACTTTTCTTTCTTTCTTTCGTTATTTATATATTATTATTGTTATATATTTGGTTTTTGGTAGCTAGCAGCAAGTTTGAACTAGTTATTTGTTGGAGAGAAAAAACCCAATAACAATGGCCAAAATGAAATTGTTCTGATGATTGAGGTCCAATCCATTAACAAATGGAAGTTTCCAATTTCCTTTACATGGAAAATGAGTTTCCCATCTATAAATTGTTCTCTGACTGACACTGAAAAATGAAAAATTCAAACAAAAAATTGGTCTGAAACCTACCAAACAGAAACATTGCGTGAAGATATGAGAATGTACATACAATCATAGCATAAAAGATGCGAGAATATACAGATATTTTTACACCAAATAAGTTTTTTAGTGTTTTTAAAGGAAAAACAGATCCTAAAAACAAAACCAAACACAGTTGCAGCTCTAAAACTACTTAATACAGACTTTCACACATTTCAACGTCCAATATAACACAAACTCAACCTCTCTGCTTAAGGCTGCAAACAGTTTTCTACAAACAGAATCAGATATATATCACATGGCTGCTTCACTCTCAAGCAGCAGCTACAGCCTCAGGAGCTGCAAGCTTGGGAGAGGCGGCAACGGGAGATGATGGGCCGGTTTTGGCATCTTTCTTGGTTTCCGAGGACGGTGATGGTTTAGGGTTCATGTGGGGAGGTGGGTTGTGCTTGAGTTTCACAAGTATATGACGCATCCTTGAAAGATCAGTTGGCTTTCCCGGCTTGGGGCCTTGGATCACGACAATGGAAGGCTGCTTTTCTTTCTCCTTCTTCCCCCTCTTCTCTATAGTCGGGACTTCGTTGGGGATGAGCTCTGCAATTGCTTTCCAGTAAGTCTTGTTGGCTTCTGTGTGGAACTTCTCTTGTCTTTCCAAGAATAGCTGCAATAATAATAAAGATCCAAGTCAGGGTAGCAGAGATGTGAAATTTCATGGTAGTTGGAAATATCAAAATTCAATTCAAATATAATTTCTATGATCTATATGGTCCTGTATGCATCTAATTTGATCAAAAAACAGAGAAAGGTACCAAGTATATTTTCATTTTGAAACTCTGATATCGATGTAGTTATATTTTCCATAACTTGATGAAGTATATTAAAATTCTCTCCATAAGATAGCCTTTCCACGGCATAGTTATAATTTAACAACAAACAAAATTCCATTTGAGCTGATTTGGTTGAATATGCAATTTTCAAAAACTGTGTTGGGCAATTTCAAATCCAACTCATGAATCCTGTGCTCCCAAATGCAAGTTATGCAGCAAAATATAGAAATTTATCTGTGCTTCCCATAAAATGAAAATATGCCAAACAGGTCCTAAATTCTGCAATTTATTTCCCCAACACAAGCATATCTAGGAAAAATAGCAGCTCAACTCAAAAACATCATTAGCCAAACTAATTATCGGAACAACAAAATCAAAGTCAAATGATAAAATTAAAATGGTAATTTTTTTTTCTCTCCCAGAGATTACCTTCTCCTTTTCCCGGTTCGCAGCTTTGTTGTTCTCACTTGCAAGCTTCTGCCTCCTGTAGAACTCAACTTTGTATTCATCAGCTTCCTCGATTATTTCTCTCAACATTTCTTTCTCCCTCTTCTCTTTCTCCTCTAATTTAATCGCGTTTTGCCTGCCCCATACATTCACAATCACAGCAAAAACACACCACCAAATCTGAGAGATACATATAAATATCGGTGGGTACTATATGCACCAATTAGTATACTAATTAGTGTACCAACATATGTTATAATATTATTACTGACCCTACCTATTATACAAATTACAAATACTAAAAACTTCTAAAATTATGCACCTGTTAGTATATTAATTGGTATATCAATTGATATATATAGTATTATTCTATAAATATTTATAAACATGTGCAATATCTCATATTGATACTTATATTTAGGGGTGCTCGCGGTTTGGTTTTGAACAATTTGTTTTGCGGTTTGAACCCGCTCGCATATGTGCGGTTTGAAAAAATTGAACTCGTAACCACCATCAGTGCGGGTTGCAGTTTGTAAGGATAGGGTTCACGGATGTGCAAGCCGTTGCGGGCGGTTTGCGGATTGAAATTTAAAAAAAAAAAAATTATTTTGGACATTTTTTTTTCCTATTTTGTAAATATTTATTTTGGGCCCTTTTTTTCCCATTTTCTAAAATGATTAACATTAATAATTAATGAATTAAAATTTATAAAATTAAAAACACAACAAAATCAATTCTTAATACAAACAAATCATTCAAAATCCTAAACTTTTAAATAAAATCATAAACTAACACAAGCACATTTTTCAAAATCTTAAACTAAATCATCAAAATCATTCACTACAAAATAATACAATTAAAGTAAAATCATTCAAAATCCTAAACTTACCTAAAAGTAATTCTTCATTAACTTTTACATTCATCCAAAATGTAATAATAAAATAATAATAAATTGTTGTCAAATTTCATTCAATTCAAATCAATTAAATAAAATAAAAACATTTGCAAACTCGTAAACTCCATCATAAAAAATAAAATAAGTGCAGGCGAATTCTTGCGGGTGTGGGTAAGACCCGCAACCCATCCGCAACCCGCAATAATGTCATATTCCAAACCGCATCTACCCACATTGTATCTGCAAAACGACCCATTTGTATGCGGATCGGTATGAGTTGATCAGATTGTGTGATTCGGATAACTCTATGCTCAACCCTACTTATATTCATAATAAGAAGCACAAACACAAACACTCCGATGTGTAATACATCTCATACTAATATTGTTATATATTCATAGCCTCGTTTGGAAATATATTATTTTAATAATTTTCTGTCTTATTACGAAAAAAATATATAGAAAAATAATGAGAGTTGTATGACAACAAATAAGTAAAGTTTGTATCACCAAATTTACAATAGGATTTTAAGGTTAGGTTTGGGAAGATGGTTTGTGGCTATTTTAGCCACAAAAGATAAAATAGACTATTTTAATCACAACAAACAAAACATCATATTTAATCCATAATCATTAAACTCTTCTCTTACAAAAAAAGTCAAAAAATCCTTCCCAAACCAAACTTTTTAACCCAAACTAAAATAATCAAAAAAATTAAAAAGTCAAAAAATCAACTCACTTCCCAAACCAAACCTGTATCACCCGTTACATATTGAATTGCCCATTATGCATTAGGATTTGGGATTTTGAACTTCTCATACCATTATTCTTCAACAAAACGGCCCAATACTATATTGTAAGATAAATTGATAGACAAAGAGAGAGAATAAATTATGTATTGATTTATTGATGTTTGAATGTTGTATATTACAAATGGTGAGGGGCTCCTTATATAGGAGAGGGCTACAGACAATACATGTTTGAGCTCATGATGGAAAGTGAAGCACTAGCACATAAAGGCATAAAACTAACAGAAACATATATACATACAATTGAGTTCATAGTTATATTATCAGACACCATAAAAAGCATCAATCAAAGCACTAAAACCATAATTCACAATCATAAGAAAAATTCACACAATGTACACAAAACAAAAAAACTACAAAAAATAAAAAATAAGAGAAACATATATAACAATATATAAATACAATTGACTTCAAAAATATATCAGACACCAAAAAAGGCAACAATCTAAGCACAAAATGAATGGTAATAGTGTGTCATACGCATCAATTTAGTATGAGCTTATAGTAAATTCTTCACTGTTCAAATCCAAAATTGAAATCAGGAAATCACCAAGCAAATCATCATATACATGTGTGTATGTCTAATATATATATATATATAGAGAGAGAGAGAGAGAGAGAGAGAGAGATTGAAGATTGATATAAAATAAAATCGCACCTGCGCCACTCCCTGAGGGCGAAGCCCTCTTCCGGCTCCATCTCCGCTGGAGGGGGAAGAATTGGTCCGTCCGAGGCCACGAAACCACCGTTTCCATTCCGTTCCGGCGAGAACACGTCATCTTCTTCGGCCGGTTCCATCACCGACTCGCCGTCAGCAAAGAACGAGTCAACTCGCCGCGAAGACAATCGACTCTCGTCGTCGCCGTCGTCGAACGGTGGAGGAACGGCGGCGGAAGAGCCGGTGAACGATGACATGATGATGCCTCTCCGACTCTCTCTCTCTCTAGGCGACAGTTTAGTCGAATGTCTTTTCTTCTTGTTCTCTGCTGCTAATAAATGATTAATTTATTATCACAATTTTTATTTTATTTTATTTTTAAACTATCGTTTTCATTTTAAAAAAATAATTATATAAATAAATCAATAACTGTTAAAATTTAATTGAAATCAATAACAGTTAAAATTTAATTGATTAAAAAAATTAGAATTAGTTTAACATCTTAAATTATAATATATATATATATATATATTTTTTTATAATTTTGAACAAATAAACTCAATAACTAATTAATAAGTGTTTGATTGTATGATTTAAATTAACTAAATTATAAAATTATATTTTTTCATTACGGCTCATTTGTTTCGGTATAAAATATTTTTTAGAAAAAAAATTTGGAAAATATTTTATATAGAAAACTTTTTTAGAAAATATTTTCTTATATTTGGTTGTATCCTTAAAATTAATGTATTAATAGTTGTATTAGTGATGATGGTAATAGTGACAGTAGGGTGGAGGTGAAAGTGGAGGTGTTGGGGGTGGTGATGGCGGCAGTGGTGTGGCAAGGGTGATGGTGGTAGTAATGAGGTATAGATGGTAGTGACGGTGGTTATGGTGGCGACGATGCTGTTGAGAGTGGTTGTGGGGTTCCTCTTTAAATAAATATAGTAATACTAAAATTTTAGCTAAATTTATTCAGAAATATCAATATGGGCTTACATTCATTTCATACTTATATTATATCCGCATTATACCAATTGAATCTCTATCATACACACATCTCATTCAGACAATTGAATCTCTATCATACAAACATCTCATTCAGAAAATTCTGCGCTCATATCTGGGATAGTAGCTTTTTTGAAATAAATATTAACTGTTGATATTGAATTCTAAACATTTTTTTGTTTCATTTTTATTAAAATTATTCATCAAAATGATATGAGTACAAATTTGTAAATAAAATATTCCATGAGTTTTAAATTTTAAAATGATAATACTTATAACTCAACATATCATTTTATATTTGTATATTATAATGGGAAATTTTATGAGATATATACACTCTAGTTATAAACTTTTTGATCTTTAATCTATCGTTTTATTAGTTATAATTTATTGTGATATTAGTTATGACATTATTTTAGTTATAATCTAAGAATTGTTTATTATACTTATGTAATGTTTGATTATAACTTTTTTTTTAATTATGACTCTCATATATTAAAATATGTCATTTGTAGTAATTAAATTCACAAATAGCCCAATCTAAAAATTAACATAAAAAAAAAACTCACAAATAGCCTAACTTACATATGTGATATATACCATAATATTATCCTGTGATGAAAAAATATTTGAAACTAACAATTAAAATCTTATAATTTTACTAATTTGTCATAAATTAACTTAGATAATCTCAACTCATTTTTCAAGTCATTGTAAAAAATAAAAATTTTTAACAACTAATTTTTTAAATAATTTTTTTGACTTCTTACATAATAATATATACAAAATAGATAGAATAAATTAATTTTTTAATTAATTATTTGACATAACTTAAAAAAATATATTTTAATATATTAGTATAACATCCAAACCCTCTAGTTTCTGTCGTTTGCTATTGAGCACGAATTCGGCAAATAAGAGATTGACATGTGTGATGCACTCGTAAGACTCAGGTACTATGAATGTGGCGTGCACTGAACAGCGCCACCTTTGATTTTCAAGTTGCAGTCAAGGTACGTGTCTGGCAGATTTTATTTTACAACCATGATAATATTAATTTTGAAAAATGCTTCGGAACCCACTGAGGTTCGACCCCCACTGAAATGGTGCGTTGTGATTAGATAAAAAAAAAATTATTTTTTTTATTTTTTGAGTTTCAGCTAGTGGGGGCTCGCCACCTCACTGGGAGTGCGACCCCCACTGAGGGTCTGCAGCATGGTCGTATGAATTTTTATAGTCTGAATAATTAAAATGTTTTAAAATAATATTAGTTGCAATCAAGGTACGTGTCTGGCAGATTTTATTTTACAACCATGATAATATTAATTTTGAAAAATGCTTCGGAACCCATGAGGTTCGACCCCACTGAAATGGTGCGTTGTGATTAGATAAAAAAAATATATATTTTATTTATTTTTATTTTTTTTTAGTTTCAGCTAGTGGGGGCTCACCACCTCACTGGGAGTGCGACCCCCACTGAGAGTCTGCAACATGGTCGTATGAATTTTTATAATCTGAATAATTAAAATGTTTTAAAATAATATTATTTTAAAGATAAAATGATATTATTTTGATACATTCAAAACGTTTAAATCATACAAATTCAACTATCTAATATTTTTCTTTGTTTTATTTCTCATCTAATGCTTTTGAAAATTTTCAATATCTGTATCTTTGAAATATTTTTTTAGGAATTAAGACATTAGGCCTAGGGTTGTTTTGGGAAGATGGTAAAAAGTGACTTTTTTGCTTTTAACCAAACTTTTTGGGAGTGATTTGGAAAGCTGGTAAAAAGTTACTTTTTTTTTTTGAGTTAATATTTATTTATGGTGTCACATCACACCAAAATGACTAAAATAACCTCACCAAACTTAAAAAAATTACATTTGACCCAAATCCATAAGATGTTAATATTGAGGGTACTTATGTAATTTCTTAACCTACTTTTTCTACTTGCCAAATGAGCTGAAAAACGCAACTCTGCGTTTTGCTCCAAAACGCCAACCTAGCGTTTTCAGCCTTTCCCAAAAGAGCCCCTAATGACTACAAGACATTAGGCCTAATGTGGTGTGAAGGAGTTTTTTTTTTTAACAGAGAAATTGAAGCACAATAACAAACTAAGGTCTCGTTTGGAAATAAATTATTTTGATAATTTTTTAATTTTTTATAAAAAAATATATAAAAAAAATAAAGAGAATGATGTGATAATTTATAATGACTTTTTATAGTGACTTTTTATCTTTTTAACTAAAATAATTACTCCCCAAACAAGACCTAAACGACATCGATCAAACAGGCAAGAACAGGAGAGCAGACAACCCAATTAGGAGGGAGTTGTTCAGATAGGAAAGTTTTCACCCCCCAATGAGCCACCTTGTTTGCAGACCAAGGAACCCAACCCTCGCTCTACCAACACCTTGATGTCATTGATGATCACCCCACATTCCCGTGGAGAATATGTTTCAGTGACGCTTAAGTGTATAATCAACTTTTTTTCCCCGTTAATTTCCACATTTGAAAATTCAGTTACTTGAGCAAATAAACAAGCCCATCGACATGGGAGAGCCTCGCCTTGCATGGAAGAATTAATGCAAACTTTCTTAGGCTTATTTTGGAAAGTAGGTTATAATCTGTTTTTCAAATTATAACACACTTCTTCTCTCACAAAAAAACTGCTTATAAGCTGTTTATTAGCAGTTTTTTATCAAAAAACTGATTATAACCATCTTTCCAAAATAGCCTAAACCCATCAAACACCCTCCCCTTGAAATCTCGCAAAACAGCCACTTCCCACCTTGAAACACCTAATAGCAGGGGGTTGCCAACCACCTTTTCTACGTAAACCTCTCTCAAATGAATGAGGTTGTTGCCTTCTATTGTGGTCCAAAGCTCCTTCAAATTTAGCCATAGCTACTCAAGCTTGATATAAAGTCGAGGAGGGCTCTACAATTTTTTTTATTAAACACAAAATCATTTTTCTCTTTCCAAATAAACCACCCATACCAAGCCACTTTGCTAAAAACAACATTATGATCCGCATTGTTTTTTAGGCTCTTCATCAAATCTCAAGACCATTTCAAAACCGAATTAATATCTCTCTTACCAACCTTGTAGTTTAACTGTCACGAGCCAAACCCGCCCCTATAGGTTTAGTGTCGTAACTGGCCAGTAATCCTAAGATTACCTATGGCCTCTGAACAGATTAAACAAAATATAAAGGGCTAATGGAAGCAAATATTAAAAATATAATTGTCCAATGAGTTATGCTGACTTATATGGGACATAAACTTTAATATACAATTACAGGCTCTTCATCAAATCTCAAGACCATTTCAAAACCGAATTAATATCTCTCTTACCAACCTTGTAGTTTAACTGTCACGAGCCAAACCCGCCCCTATAGGTTTAGTGTCGTAACTGGCTAGTAATCCTAAGATTACCTACGGCCTCTGAACAGATTAAACAAAATATAAAGGGCTAATGGAAGCAAATATTAAAAATATAATTGTCCAATGAGTTATGCTGGCTTATATGGGACATAAACTTTAATATACAATTACATACATATATCACAACATCACTATTCTTACGCCAACCGTATACAGATAAAACAAAAAAGGACTTAGCCCTATATACAAAATAAACAAAAGACAAGAAGAACTTGAGCCTTGATCACAAAACATCTTTCTAGGAACTTTCTCGTGAGGTGCAATGGTTGGCATGACAAAACAGAACCAGACAGAAGCCCTCAGGCCTGATCTTGCATTCGCTCACCTACATATATATACAAACAATGAGCTAAAGCCTCGTGAATAACATTAACGTAAAGAGGTTAGTGAACAAATTCTGAACATATCATATTCATAAAATAGATCATAACAAAATCAGTTCTCATATCCGAACATAATAATGGTACATCTAATAGAACATATCATATCGTTATCCGACGAGAGTAATCGGTTCTGGATACCGATTAAACACATAACCACTTTGTCAAGTGGCTAACGAGATCTCGTAATCACATATATGTTATGGACCCGCATTAACATGCCGTAATAGATTTCAAATAGGACATTTGTTCATGTTAACAAAATCACATTTTAGAAATTATAACTTATTGAATCACATTTGGAACATAATTCATATGAACATATCTTTACAATAATATTACTCATAGTGGGCTTCTATAAACAGTCGTTCGGTCTCCAAATCTCGACCTACAATTGCAAACGTACATAGCACAAAGCATGACTTATTATTACACATCCGTATGGCCAATATGGCCTAGCTTTTCTACATTGATTTCTTGTCTTTTATATCACATTGCTTATACACATTGAAACACACTTTTTGTAATCTCTTAACTTATTCTATTTCTTTCTTAGCGTGTTTCTAATTCTTATCTTAATTATTGTGACTTAACCATGGCTTAAGAATGTCCAAGATGGAATGAGGATGCAAATATGTACTTTAAAACACTTAACAAAATTTTAAAAAATAGGGCAATTTGCTCAAGCAAAACTATGGTCGGTCGAGCGAACCCCTTGGTTTGCAAAAGTTCTGAGAGCTCTCGTTTTACGCTCGAGCTCAGCTTCCTTCGCTCGAGCCAAAGTTCAAAACAAAAGGTGGTCGCTTGAGCGCAGGTTCTGTCGCTCGAGCCAAGATTTATGTCTGCAAAACTTCTAGGAGCTTGCATTTTTCGCTCGAGCGGTCTGCAAATTTTCTGGGTTTTCCAGAATAGAATTTGAGCTCCAAACATGCAATTTCAAAGGCAAACTCATGCATGCTTTGTCCAAAAACTTGGAAACACGATAAAAACTCATATACAACTTAAAATCTCATGAATTTAACCAAAATTGAGTTCAAACTTTCATGCATGTAAGTTTTATAAACCATTTTTCTCCAACTCCATGGTTTTTAGTAAAACTAAGCTCAAAAGCTCCATGCATGTGAGAAATCCCTTTCAAAACATGACTTTAAACTCCAAAACATGATGAATTACATATGCATGTACCAAATAACTTACAATAACAACTTAGATGCTCAAGAGCAAACTCAATCATGGCAGAATTCTTCATATTTATGTACGCATGTGAAGCTATGACATTTTCTTGACTTCCTCTAACAAAATACTTGCAAATGATCATGTATAATCCATGAACTCAACTTTAAAACACACAATCTTCAAGAATTGAGGGCTAAAGGCTTACTAGAATCTTGGATAAGCCAAATTATTATAAATCTTAGAGCTTCTCTTTTTAATCTTCAAAAATTAAGCTTTAATCCTTCAATTTTCTCGCTCTCTCTCTAAAATGAGAGTTCTCTCTCTCTCTAGAAGCTCTCTCAGATTTTTGCACTCAAGAATGACAAACGATGAGCTCAAATGAGCTTTAAGGCTCTATATATATAGCTAAAATGGCATAATACAACAATTAGAACATCTGGTCAATTAAATATAACTTAATTAATCAAACTGAATCAATTTTTAATTGAACTTACCAAAGTGTTCTAAATATTCTAAATAACGTATCGATGTAATCAATTTCAGTTTCGAATGCCGATAAGGTTTTTGATTTTCAAATCAAAATATTTTTACGAGTAACAAATAGAGAGCCAAATAGCATACAAAATACACAATTAGCACATAATTCCATTTTAAACACTTAGTTAGCATTCTTAATTACGGATTAGTAGTTAATTACGGATCGGAGTTGTTACATTCTCCACACCTTAAGAAGTTTGGTCCTCCAAACTTGAGTTACCATAAATATATTAGATGCGGATTAGCGTTAATATATATATATATCAAAATTTTGTCTTTAAAAGCCTTATTTTTGACTTTTCAGGATGATTTTTTAGCAACTATCTTCATGACGATAAAAATTGATCTCTAAATGCCTTTTGTAACAAAATTTTTACTTTTAGAGATCAAAATATTTAACCTCTAAACTTCTTATATGTTGTAGTGGGGTGATGGCATGTAAGAGAGTGTTGGGGATGTGCAAAAGAGGGAGAAGCGCCACAATGGTATGCATGACATAGAGGGTTACATTAGAGGGTGAGGTGGGACTAAGGAGTGAAACTGGGAAAGGGTGGTTGTATTTAGTGGTCCAATTGGAAAATATATTTTACAAAAAGTTTTGTTTTTAGAAAATATTTTCATATGTTTGGTTGATTTTTTAAAATTAATACACTAATGGTTGTATTAGTAGCAATAAGGTCATGGTAGCGATGGTAGTGATGATAGTAGTGGTTGGGATGGTGGTGACATTGGTGGTGGATGTGATGGTGGTAGAGATAATGTGCTGGCATTGATAAGATTTTAGTTTGAAAAATGTTTTCTACGTTTTAAAGTTGGAAAAATATTTTCCATCCAAGCATGTTTATTTTTCATTAATTATGAAAATTTTCATTAACTCTTATTTTTTGTTGTACCAAATGTTCAATGTTAAATCATTGTTTGCACTTGTTTCGCGAATAATTTCTTGTTTGTATTGAAATTTTGAGAAAAACTACCATCAGCATATTTGTACAACACATTGGGTTTATAATTTCATTTATCATAATTGCATTTATTGAATAGGTCCCACCACTGTTTGTAACTAAAATAAGAGCCGTGCTGGGGACTCCCAGTTGGGGGGTGACCCCAGCACCCGCACTCCATTATGAAGGCTGTGGACCAAGGGAAAATAAAAAAAAAAAAAATTCAACTAATCGCGTGCCGCCGCATCAGTTGGGGGTCACTGGGAGTCTTCAAAACTGGGGATGCAAATCATCTTTCCTAAAATAATGATGACACATGATATAATAAACTAAATATACTATGCAAATATGGCCATTGTAGCGTTACTTCAAAAAATTTCTCTCTTATTGGACCCTTTGTTGTAGCTAAAAAATGATCAAAATTTATCTCAAAATTAATGTATGGACTACACTTGCATGCCACCCCCATAATAAATATAATTCATTAATTTTGTTATTTTAATTAAAAATTTGCTAAATTATGAGTCAATCCTATGTGATGGACTTAAATATCTGTAAGTCTTGTACAAAATTTTAAATGTATCAATAAGTTTTAAATGTTTATTTTGTCCCAATAATTTTTTGTTAAATAATGATAAGTGAAAAAAAAGTAAGATGCCGTTTGGAAAGTTAGAAATAACCTACATTTTTTTTCTTCTAGTGATATGTGTAAAAAAAATTTAAAAATTAAAATAAGCACCCCCAAAAAAATGTTCGGCTTATTTTTGTATTTTCTATTTTTTTTTTCAGATTTTTTAGAACTTTTTGGTTTGTCTTCGAGTAGGATGTAGGAAATTATAACTTTTCGAATTTTTTTTTTAAAAAAAAAAACAACAAACCAACCAAAAAAACTACTCACAAACATCTTTAAAAAAAAAATTTAAAGATGGTTTGGGTATGACTTCTTTTTTGTCTTTTTTTTTTTAAATTTTTTTTTTAAATTTTAATTATTACTAAAAAATGTGTAAAAGAGTAAAAAATGGACGTAATAGAAACAAACTATTAAGCAGCTTGTTTAAGTGGCATTCAAACCCCTTTTAATTAATATGATTGATCCGTAAATCTCCGTTAAATTTTTGAACAGTCATGTTACCAAGTGTCCCTAGGACACAAATAAAAAATAAAAAAAATTGAAAAAAATAAGACACTTTGTATTAGATTCAATATATTTTTTTTATTGAAAATTAATATACTTTTTAATATTTTACATATTTTCAAGACACTAATGCCTAAGAAGTACTTGTTAACATTGGCCATTTTAGAATAATATTTATGAAAAATGCTTTAGAGTACTAATTTGACACTATCAATCCACTCCTAATGACATGGAATAGACCATGGGAATTGGTGGACCTACACCCCTCTCTCTATGTCTCCATATTCTCTCTTTTCCACGTCTTTAGAGATAGATTAGGGGTGCTATATTGGTGGGATGTAGAGTTGCAAATAAATCAAACTATTCACGAATAGACTCTACTCGGCTCGACTCTGTTTATTTAGTAAATGAGTCAAACTCAAGCTTGAATAAGCTCGATTTGTTTATCTTTATTTAAATTATATAATAAATATATCATTCATATATTAAATAATATGAATAATATTAAAAAAAATCTTATCAAGCCAAGTAAAACTTGAGTTTCGTTAATATTAACGAATTGAGCCAAACTTGAATCTATTTACTTATCGAGCTGAATTCAAGCTTAATAAATAAGCTCGATAAGCTGAGTTCGAGCTTAGCAAAATTCGGTTTGACTCGGCTCGTTTGCAGCCCTATATGGCATGGATTGTTTAAGGGGTGTTTTGGGAAGTGCATTATTTTGTTTTTTTTCTTTTGGTTTATTTTTGTTTTTAGTAAACTTTTTTTTTAAAATTTTTCAAAAAGTTTTAAGTTTTTAAATTCAGCTCGATAAAACGAACTGAAAAATTATTTGTTTTTTAAAAAACCTCAAAAAAATTCAAAAAAGATAAGAATAAACAATCTTTTATTTATTTATTTTCATCTTTAGTGATTTTTCTTGAAATTTTCAAAAAAATATACGTTTTAGATTTATTTCAACAAGACCGACAGGAGAAGTACGAAATTTTTACATAATTTTTAAAAAAATCACTAAAGCAAAAAAATTTTGAAAAAGATTTTATTTATTTATTTATTTATTTTTTTGGGCCAAAATGGGCCTAACTAGCAGAATATCTGGAGGCCGGGACAAGAGAGGCTTGTCCGTAAATTTCACCCAAAGCAACGCCATATATATAACCGACCATTCCGCTTCGCTCTCTCTATATAAAGCACAGACCCTCTCCTTTGTTTGAAACCGTATGCAGGAGGGAGGGAGAGAGTGTGAGAAATGGGAGAGAAAGTGTGAGAAAAAGAGAGAGAAGGTGTAGAGAGTGATATGAGAAAATCAGCCCCACAGATTTCATTTCACCTGATAAAAACCCTCACTTCTCCACTACATTCTCGTTCTCAATCTCCTTTTTATTGTCTCAATTTGGTTTTCAATTTGATTATCAAAAATGAGTCGTTTAGGGTTTAAATCGGTGGTCTACCATGGCGATTGTTGTTTGGGTGAGTTAGACACAATCCCTGTGAAGGACCAGAGTTTTCAATTTCCGAATAACGAGATTCGAATCCACCACACATCTCCTCTCAGCGAACGATGCCTTCCTCTCTCAATCCTCCAAACAATTTCCTCAAATTCAGTCCGATGCAAGCTCGAATCCACATCTCCAATCGAACAGTCTCAATTGATCAATCTTCACGCCTCTTGCTTTTACGAACTCAAGGTTTCAATTACACATGCATCTATTTGTTTGTAATTGAGTTTCATTTTGCATGTATTGATTGGTTTTAAGCTGGTTTTGTAGACTGCGGTGGTGTTGATCGGAGACGAAGAGGTTCACTTGGTGGCAATGCCGAGCAAGCAGAAGAAATTTCCATGTTTTTGGTGCTATGCGGTTCCGTCCGGTTTGTATAATGCTTGTTTGGGGATGTTGAATTTACGGTGTCTTTCAATTGTGTTTGATCTGGATGAAACTCTGATTGTTGCCAATACTATGAAGTCGTTTGAGGATCGAATCGAGGCTTTGCGGAGTTGGATTGCACGTGAAACAGATCCAATTCGTATGTCAGGAATGACCGCTGAGATGAAACGATATGTCGATGATCGAGCTTTGTTGAAGCAGTTCACGGAGAGTGATTATGTTTTGGATAATGGGAAGATGTTTAAGGTTCAATTGGAGGGGGTTCCTCCATTATCAGATGGTCACGAGAGGGTTCTTCGGCCTGTTATACGATTACCAGAAAGGAATATAGTCTTGACTCGCATTAATCCAGAGGTTAGAAACTCTACTAGATTATATCATTTCATTGCAGTTGTTTATGTAGTCAATCAATTTCCTTTATATAAACAAATATGGAATTTTGATAATGGAGCTTGTGTGAATTAGGAAATTCAGATTCTACATTGATTGAATATGAGTAATTTACATGTAGGTTTAGCAGTAGGAAATAATGCATTGAATACCCAATTTGTTTTCTGGGGAATCAAATGCTTTGATATAACGCTTTTTACATTTTCTTAATCTTGAAATAAATCTTGTATTTAATCTCAATCGATCTAATGCCGATAAAAAAAAAAAAAAATCTTATCTCGACTTAATGGTTGAGATATTTCTACTGCTTGACTTAGGCTGCACCGACAATTTTGTCATTTAGTTCGGTAGCCATCAGAATAAATCAAGTATTATTAATCTCAACTCGACCTACTTCTTATAAAAAATAAAATAAAATCTCAACTCGACCTAATGGTTGAGATATGTCAACTTTTGACTTAGGCTGCACCGACAATTTTGTCTTTCAGTTCGGTAGCCATCATAGTAAATCAAGTATTATTAATCTCAGCTCGACCTACTGCCGATCAAAGATAAAATAAAATCTCAACTCGACCTAATGGTTGAGATATGTCAACTTTTGAATTAGGCTGCACTGACAATTTTGTCATTCAGTTCGGTAGCCATCAGAATAAATCAAGTATTATTAATCTCAACTCGACCTAATGCCGATCAAAAATAAAATAAAATCTCAACTCGACCTAATGCCGATAAAAAATAAAATAAAATATCAACTCGACCTAATGGTTGAGATATGTCAACTTTTGACTTAGGCAGCACTGACAATTTTGCCATTCAGTTCGGCAGCCATCATAATATATCAAGTATTATTAATCTCAACTCGACCTAATGCCAATTAAAAAAAAAAAAAAAAAAAAGAACTCAACTCGACCTAATGGTTGAGATAGTTCAACTGCTTGATTTAGGCTGCATGGACAATTTGTTCATTCGGTTCGGTAGCCATCATAATATGGTCATTGCTTTAACTGGTAAGTCAGTTAAAAGAATTGGTGGCAGGTGGCAGTTATGGGGAGATAAATATAGTTTTGTCTTATGAGCTAAGTTTGGAACTGAGGTTTGATTCCAGGGTATGAACCCATGTTCCGTTCTTTTACTAGTCCACAAATATTCTATGTGGGCCAGTAATGATTCTATGAATAGGTTTCTATATCATCTGGTGGAAGTTAGTTTTGTAAATTTGTAAGATGATGTTTCTGCATCTGACTTAGCAGTCAAGACAAAAATAGTGTCTTTTGGCAACTGGCAGCATTGTCCACAAGCTCAAGCCCTGAATGTTCATGCTAGAACTTGTGGAGTGCCTAATTCTTTGTTCTGTCCACTGCAGATGGTTTGGGCTGACTGTTGGTTGGTCATTCAGTGTTCTTATGTTATAATTCCACATGTCATTTAATTGCTTATAATTTTCGTCACATTTATATTTGGAAATTTTCATATTGCAAAATGATTAATAATTCTTTGTTCTGTTCAATGCAGATGGTTTGGGCTGGTTGTTGGTTGGTTATTCAGTGTCCTTATGTTATAATTCCATATGCCGTTTAATTGCTTATAATTTTTCGGCACATTTATGTTTGGAAATTTTCATATTGCAAAATGATTAATAGGCAAAATGATTAATTCAGTGTTCTTATGTTATAATTCCATATGACTTTTAATTGCTTATAATTTTTCGGCACATTTATGTTTGGAAAATTTCATATTGCAAAATGATTAATAGGCAAAATGATTAATTCAGTGTTTTTACGTTTGGTTGGTTATTCAGTGTTCTTATGTTATAATTCCATATGGCGTTTAATTGCTTATAATTTTTCGGCATATTTATGTTTGAAAATTTTCATATTGCAAAATGATTGATAGGCAAAATTATTAATTCAGTGTTTTTATGTTTGGTTGGTTATTCAGTGTTCTTATGATTTATTTTATACTGTTTAATTATTTATGTTTGGAAATTTTCAAAGGATTGGTTGATTAATGGGCATTTTGAAAATGATTAAACTTGGATGATAATATTCATATCTGGCGTTTGCATTTGATATCAATTAATTTTCTGAGACTTAAAGCATTGCATAATTTTTTTATGATTAATGGTTGTTTGCGTGCACAGATCCGTGACACTAGTGTGCTGGTTAGGTTAAGACCTGCTTGGGAGGATTTGAGAAGTTATTTAATTGCAAAAGGGCGGAAAAGGTTTGAAGTTTACGTTTGTACCATGGCCGAAAGAGATTATGCATTAGAGATGTGGAGGCTGCTAGACCCGGAGGCACACCTGATAAGTTCAAAGCAATTAATGGACCGTGTTGTATGTGTCAAATCAGGCAAGCACCTTATACTTAGAATATTTTGATCATTGGTCATGCTAAATATTGGTCAGATGTATTATGTATTATTGAAGTGTTCACTATTTCAATTCTTGGGAATCTAAGAATCACGGATACTTCTAAAAAGGTGGCGTGTTTGTGTTGTGTTCGTGTCAGACACCAACACTCATTGGACACTTGTCAAAATGTGTCCTACTTTTTAAATTTTTTTTTAGAACCGGACACTCTTCTGACACTTGGAGGATAATGTGTCCATTGCTTAAACACACGTGTCCGTCGATTAAACACACATAAAACTATTATAGGTTTGAACAAAATAACTTAAGATACAATAATAAAAGAAAATTAATGTAAATTTATAAAAATAAGTGTTATATTGCACTTTTTTTTTAATTATCTTTGAATAATATATTCATATAAGTGACATATAAAAAATATATAAAACTATGTATTTCGTGCTTGTTCCTCATGTGTCGTGTCTGCCATTTTTTTAAAATTGGCGCATTGGCGTGTCTGAGTCGATTCGTGTGTCTGTGCCTGTGCTTCTTAGCTGGGAATGGAGGGTTTAGCAGACTTTTGTATTTGATTCTAATTGTCAATGTGCATGATGTACTTTTGTTTTCAGTTCATTGGTTTTCGGTGTTGTCTCTACCACCTCCCATTCTCCTTGGTATTTAACCTCTTTCAGTGTTTATATGTCGCAGGTGCTCGGAAGTCCTTGCTCAGTGTCTTCCAAGATGGCAATTGCCATCCAAAGATGGCAATGGTGATCGATGACCGCCTGAAGGTTTGGGAAGATAAGGATCAACCTCGAGTTCATGTAGTACCTCCGTTTACTCCTTATTATGCTCCTCAGGCAGAGGTACAATGCTGTGGTTCCCATAAGCTCAATCATTGTATTTACTATATAGTATATTATGTTACTAAGAACTGATGCTAAAGCTAATATTCTCTTAAATAGACAGCAAATGCAGTTCCAGTCCTCTGTGTGGCAAGAAATGTTGCATGCAATGTTAGAGGTTGCTTTTTCAAGTAAGAGCAGTTCAATTTTATATAACAAATAAATTTTTTGCATAAGATTGTAAATTTTGTTTGGTATGTTGTATACTTTGTTATGCTTATACATGTATATTTGCCATATTAACCAGAGAGTTTGATGAGAATTTATTAAGAAGAATCTCTGAACTTTTCTATGAAGATGAGGTGGTAAATTTACCTTCTGCACCTGACGTGAGCAACTACTTGATGTCAGAGGTATGTTAGTAAACAACTAGTTACTTCAAGGGCCAATTTGTTGATGAAAGTTAGCATTTATTTTTGTTTGCTATTGTTGATACTAGGATGCTAGTTTTGTACCAAATGGAAATACAAATGCCCCCATGGCTGAGGGGATGAATGGTCCTGAAGTTGCCCAGAGATTGAACCAATTGGTAAGTTTGTATATATTTATTTTAAATTTGGTATCTCCGTATTTTGCTTTATTTTCATAAATTATGTCCTATAAAGAAAGAGTACAATGGTAAAATGCTTGATTCGCATTTGGTGATTGTTTGATTTGATTTCTATTGTTTTCATTGCTTTGCATTTGATCATTTTGCATGAGATAAGGAATTTTGCTTAATTATTATTTTCTTTTATCGGTGCATGATTTAGGATGAGAAGTATGGAGCAGATTTCGAGCTTAAATCTGAGGTCTCCCAGCTACCTGTGGCAAGTGTTCCAAATGTTTTTGGTCAAGCATCTTTCAGGACAGTTGTACCTTCAGACAGTATGAACCTTATTCAATGCATATTCTTCGTTCAAGTTTTGGTTTTGAAAGCAGGATATACAGTATATATATATTTGTCTTTTTTTGTCTTATCATATTCTTTTTCCATTGACATTGTAGAGCCTAGTTTGCTTGGAGCTCCCTTTAGACGAGACAGCAGCTCTTCTGAATCTGATGAGGTGAAGAGAAGATTCCTCGTTGTGAACCCTTCTCAAGACATACGGTATCAAAGTTTGGGTGAACCTCCTCTGCTGTCCAGATTACCTGCACCACTACCAGTGATCCCCATACAACCACAGGGAGGCTGGCTAGTTGAAGAAGATATAAATAGAGGGCATTTCAATAACCGAAATTCAGGAACTGTTCAAGAGTCTGATTTGTTAAAAATTGATAAGCAGCGAGCTCATCAGAATCCACCTTTTCATGGCACAACTGGTTCAACTCCAGGATTATCATCACATATATCTGAAGTGAAGGGCGAAGAGGTTCGTTCTTTCGAATTTTTGTTAGGATATTAGATTCTAGTTTTAACTTTTATATACATGATTTGCAGGGGTATCCAGGACGTGAATTGCAGAGGCAGAATACTCTTTCCGCAAAGCCATCTGGTATATGGATATATCATCTAGTGCAATGTTTGCATGCTAGACAATTTCAATTTTCGTTGAATCGTTATTTTATTTTATTTTTAATTTTTCATATATTTATTATGTGATGGCACTTTAAAAAGAGTGTCCAAGTCTCTTTGATCAGATACACTTTTAAGATAAGATGTTTCCATTTAGACATATGAAGGATTGCAATGTTTCTTAGGCACTTGTAGAAGTGTTCGACACATCTTTGCTATGTCTCTTCTATAAAAGTAAAATCCATATATTTGGACATCTTACTGACCCTTTTTGGAGACCCCCTATGTGTAAACTTTTGACATTGGACATGGTGTAATTGTAACGTAGTATGATAAGGTTTATTTAAAAGATATACCATACTAAAAAACGTAGTTAAGTCAGTTTATCAAAGTGGTGAGGATTGGAGAAGAGTTATAATTTTATTGATGTACATATAAATTTGCATCTACATGTATATTATGTAGTCCCAATGGTGGTTCCAGAAATTTTGGTCAGGCTATTCAAAAACTTAACTTAGAATTTATATAAAAGAAGTCACACTCACCCATCTTTATCATCAATTTCCAATCTCCTAATTTAAACTTTTCAAATCACAAACAAAAATAATTTTAATATATTGATACTATTGTTTCAATGCAAAAAGAAATAATAAATAAATATATGCAGTTCTACAATTTCTCTTGACAAGTCATACCACTCGACCTAGTCTTGATAAAGCTTGATGGCAGATTTTCTCAAATTTAGTACTATAATTCAACATAAGCTACATTTACTACGAGAGCTGTCTTTTGGGTATTACCTTCTTTTTATTTGACGAGTAACTTTTTTGGTCTTTGTATGGGTACAATACTGTTACAAATTAAGAAAAGTACTCAGAAAATGAAGTGTATGAGCAAAATGCATTTTGAGTGTTCCTCACATCACCCCAACTTTAACTGTATATCGTACACTTTAACTTTTCTGACCACTTTTTCTTGGTACTAACGTTTCTGATGAGGGTATTACATTCAGAATTAAAAGAGATTGTGAGTGAGCTGTGGGGTGGCTGTACAACATTTGAAGTGAGCGAGTTGGGTGTTCAAGATTTGTGGGATGAGTACTCAAAATAAGTGAATTTGGGTGTTTAAATTATGAGTGGACTAATTAATATGTATATATATTACTTGTATATTCAACTGAATACCTTACAACACTGGTGCTGCCGCCCTTCCTACATACATATATATTTGCACTCCAGAGCTATGCCTTCCATGTCTCAGTTGCTTCCCCTGTCCTTTGTCTATTAAAAATTTCTTTTCCGACAAGGATTTTGCCCAAAAAAATTGGAAACTAGTAAACTTTTACTAATTGGAATATTCTAGACCTATAAAAACCATATAAATAACCCAAAAGCTTAAGTTGACCCAAATTATGACCCAGAAGCAACCCTTATAGTACTAAACTTGTCATTCACTTGAGTAGAACTTTTTGCTCTGTATTGATGTCCAGGCTTCAATTAGTGTTTCCAATTTTGAATTGAACTTAGCTTTTGTCACCATCGTCATAGACCAACTTTTAGATAAGGGCAGGAACAATATTAAGGATCTTTTGCTCTTATACCAAATTGTTGCTAGACAAATTAAGAAACTAGGTCCTAAGGCTGCCTACAATAGGAGCTTTTGCCACCATTTGATCTAATTATTTGATATGTCCAGCCCACATCAGGGGGGAAATCCCTTGAGAGACGCGGTGCGGAGGGCATGAGATTGTCTAAGAGTCCACTGGATGTTCATCTGGAGATGTTTTTTACCCATATGTAACCTATTGATTGATCCCTTTTCTATCATATTTCAGTATCACAAAAGTTTGTGATTTATTTAGTACTTTTGCCAACGTCAAGTTGACATCAGCACACTACAGCTTCCAACAATTCCCTTCTGCTTTTAGCTCATCTTTCCGTCCTTTTGTTTTGTTTTGATACAATATTATATATATTTATAAAAAATGATTATGTATGTGACCAATATATTATGTTATTGGGTGATTAATCTCTTTCTCTCTCGTTGTTTTTTTTCATGGGTGTAGAGGTTGGTGTATCTCAGAATCAATCATCCTCATATGGCAGAGAACTTCAAACTGAAGGTGGAAAAATGAGCTTGCTGCCATCTTCTTTTTCTATTGGAGTGCTGCAAGAAATTGGAAGGAGATGCAGCTCAAAGGTATAACAACCTATTTTTTATTATTGTTATTGTTGCTTATTTTTTTTGGGTTTCATATTGTTTCTTGCCATGCAGATTGAGTTCAGGTCTGTCGTAAGCACTAGTAAAGATTTGCAGTTTTCTGTTGAGGTTAGTATGATGTGTAACTATTGTTACTGTGAACATATTTTGATATATATTTTTTGTAGTTTTTTTCTTCTTCTTCTTCTTCTTTTCACTGAGAGTGTTGATTTCGTTACTTTTGGTAAGCATAGCATGGTTGTTAAAATCAGGATCCCACGTGGGATCAATGAGAGGGTCTTGCGGATTAGATCTAGGATTGTATGATTCTATTTTGCATAGAAAATAAGGTGAAAATTCACCAATAATGATGATGAATATTAAAGTAAGTTGAAAAATCACCATCCGAATGATCCTAGTTGTGATCCTGCATGATTCTATAAATCTTGTGATGTTGTTATAATATCTATTTTACACCGATTTGTATCGTTTGTGCAATCTAGGTTACAATTGGGCTCATGATTTTTATGCCCATCAAGTTTTTAACTTATAAATCTTCTCATTAAACGTTGCTGTTGAAGATCATGGCTGTAGTTATATTTATATATAATGATTTACATTTCTTGGCATTACGTTAATAGTTGGTATTTGCTAATTGAAGTCTTTAGCTCTAATAGGAGTAGGAAAAGTCTCAACAGTTTGTATCTGTAGGTGTAATTTTTTTTTTTTAATCAATGGAATGAGTAGGATTAAGGATTGCCTCATGTGTGATGCAACCTAACCAAAGTAGCTGATTTTTTGGGGAACTATATATGTGATTTCTAGAATATATTCTTACTTTGTTCTTATTTATCAAAAAAAATATATATATATATATATATTCTTTCCTTGTTCTTGTTTCTATTGGAATGTGTCCCACATCGCCTAAAGTTGCCCATTTGTGTTAGTTGTAAGGTTCTAGTTTTCCTCTCCTTAATACCTGGGTTTTAAGAAGTATGGGCTGGGCTTTTCAATTTTTGTTCTACAGAAATAGCTAAGTTGGTTGTCACAGCCTCAAAACTGCCCCTAGTTTATCACCAATCCATCAAGCCTCAATAAATCTTTAACCTTTTCCCTACCTTTTGGCCTTCAATTTAACAAACAAAAGTAGAACATACTTTCTGTTGATAATTTTAGTGACTAATTTTTGCAATTTCAGCAACCTCCGACTTAATTTGGCCAAATCTATCCATTTCCCTCCACCCTTTTAAATCCTTAGCGTGCAACTTTTCCTTGACATAAACCAACCGTGAAAATAAATTATAGGCAGCACTATCCTCGGTTTTCTGGTCCTGTCTTGCATCAGTTACGTTCATTCTTAGCTATAGTGTTTCTCTAGTGACTATATCCTTTTCTCATTAAATTTGACCATGCAAAACCGAGGATTGTCTCATGGTATAGGCATATGAGGAGGCATTTAATTTCTAAAGCACCATAAGATTTTTCTAGGCTAGTGACATCATAGTTGCTTCAGGAACATATATTTGCTATTTTGTTCTGAAGTAGCTTATATTCATTTTTTTTTTTTTTTCTCTTTGGGAAGTGATCTCCCCTTCTTTGTGTTGGTAAACCTTAAAAATTTGATTGAATGTTGAAGAATTTAATTTGACTTCTTGGCGTAGGTCTTGTTCACTGGTGAGAAAATTGGCGTTGGAATGGGCAAGACGAGGAAGGATGCTCAGCAACAGGCTGCTGAGAATGCTCTTCGTTGCTTGGCTGGTAAGACCATCCTCTAGTTTATTTTTCGTACCTTTGTTTGTTGTAATGTCAAATATATCTCAATGTGGATTCTTTATTTGCAAGAATAATTTTTGACGTAAAAGGAGCAAGGATTTAGATTCTGATAAAGGGCATTTATGTCGAAATATTTGAAATGATAGTTATGAAGTGACTTATTCTGGGGCATGTTTAGTTATCCTAATAATGTAATCCCCACTGTATCTAAAATGAACAATTGACCACGGAGCATGCCTCTTAATTTATTCTATTCTTCTTAAGTAAACAAGTCCTCCAATGTTTTTATGAGAATGGGCTTGACATGAACCGTTCCATGGTCGTATTCTATACAGATGTCTTTGCAACTCTTTTTCCTCTCCAAACAGTATTTTCTTCCTACTAGAAAATTTTGTACCCTTATTGTTCTCAAATTGTTGTACAAGGTGACTTGTGTCGTATTTATGAAATCCAAACAAAAATATTGAAACCTTAACTGCTTTTTGGGATTATGTTTTTGGCCATCAATTACTCCCACTCTGGATGGTGGGTGACTTGATTGCAAAGAGAATTTCTCCCATATATGAAATTCTAGCCTGACTGCAATGTTGAGTATATTAGGAAGATATTGTCACTCAAGTGTAATATTTAGGCAGCTAACTTCACCTGGGGATATCTAAACATTTCAGAAAACTCTCTGGAGGCTTTTGTGAATCCTCTTTTATTCTTATAGCTTTCATTGGTAAGCTCAATTTTTCTGTTGAGCCTTTTTGATTTGTCATTGTTTTTGTACAAAGGTTGTGCCCTTTTGCGTCTTTTCGTTCATAAATACAATTTTTTGTTTTTAACTTAACAGAAAAATATAGTTAGAAACTGAAGGGAATTGATCTTCGGTCACTAATCTGCTAATGTCATTTTTGCCTCACCTTCCCTCCTTTTTAAATCTTCTCCTCACTTAAAGTCTTATTTGACAATGATGCTTGCTTTTTGTGTTTGTGAGAATGTGACGTCTAATTTTTCTCATGATCCAGAATTTTTTTGTTTCATTACACTTTATGGCTACATAAAGTTCCATTGTATAACATAAACACATCCATGCTCCAGAAATCCTGTCTATAATCTGCGAAATATAAACATCATTTTTGAAATATATGATTTATTGATGTATGAAATTATTCATCCAGACATTCTTTTCCTGACTTTAGTACTCCATTTATCATAAGTATCATTACTATTTGTCATTGCATATTGTATGGATTCCATTTATTGGAGTTGGAACTTTTGCTGTTTAGTTTACATGCTTATCCTGGAGGGTAGACTAAAAATCTATTTCTACTTCTTTTTCTTTTTTGTTGCTCTTTAATGTTAAATAATTACATTATATAAGTATAAGATGCTAACATAATATTTTACCTATTGTACCACAGATAAATACATATCATATATTGCACCTCGTTCTGGAGCTGTGGACAGGGATTTGAATAATCTCTCTCTTGAAAGTGAAAATGGATTTATATGGGATATAATAAATCCTGGATCAGATGAACCATCAGTGGAAGATGGGTTGTCCAAAGAAAGCACTTCTGAGGTGAGAGTTTTAATGATTTTGCCTATGTTTGATTTGATTTCTTTTCTTGCTTCATTTTTTTTTGTTGAGAACATAGGTGATGCTTGGATAAAGGGTATGTGGGCAAGAAATTCAGTAAGGGGTTGTGGTTATCGGGAGAAAAACCAATCCTCTTTTGGATTTTGCATTGCACCAAGGTGTGAGCGCAAAAAACAGGAAAAATGTAGTGAGCTGGCTTCATGTTCACTAGTGCTGCCGTCACCATGCTTCACAATTCCTGTTTTTAGAGGTAAGGATTTGGTGATGAGTCGTAGTTTCTACCCGTTATCCAAGTACTCCCGTGTTGTCAACTCCTTGAGTTTTTTACTCCATTTTCTGAGTTGATTAGCCCATGTTATGGGTTTATTGGCCATCTGTAATCAGTTTTCCTTGGGGATATTTGGGTTTCTTCAAAATTCTCAGTTCCTGTGATTCAAATAATGTTTCATTTAAGTGAATTGTGGTTGATAATGTTGGGGGTAATTTGACCAGAACCTTTTTACCTTGTACACCTTACCACTTTCTACTGAAAAGAAAACAAAAATAGATTCGTAGTATGTGATTTTATTCAATGTTCCTCAGATGAACTGGATTTAATCCTCTCTACCAACAAAAAATGTTTTCCAGGTTGCTGAAGGGGCACTTGGCAATACTTCCTTCGATGTGGGAAACCAACAAGTGCAGAAGCGGTCCAATTCTCCCAGGTAAAATATGATAAATGATGGAGCTTATTCTTGTTAGTTATATGGATGAAAACATGACGTTGTCATCTCTTTCACTCGAAAATGTATTCAAGTAGTTTATTTTTGTGTTGTCACAGCGTTTGCATTAGTTTTGGTCCATTTAACCTTACTAAACGTGAGGTCAGTGTAATTATGCAAAAAATGTTGGGCTTACTGTATTTTTCTAAACCTCTGGGGAGGTCAGTATAATTTATCCAAATTTAAAATTATATTGCCCAAGCCCTTAAACTTTTCGTTGGACTCGAGTTGTTAAGGTTGAGCCCAAGAGCTATGAATGACATTTGCAGAGTTAAAATACAATAATTTATATGAAAAATGATTCAGTAACAAAATTTTTTACAAAAAATCCCACAAAAATGATGTGGCTGTGACATTTTTGAAATTATGTCACTTTGATGGGTCTTTTGGTGTAGAAATGAATAGATACAAATCTGCCACATCATTATGTATTGATTTTTGTATATTATCACTCTATTTAATTGTAATGATGGAACCAACACAAAGATATGTCCTTCAATTGTTGTCTAGGCAAATCTGGAGATGTAAAATGCTGCAGGTTAGAAATTTTAATGAGTGAGCAGAAGTGGGTAGTTTGTTATTGATTATTGGTATCATCCCCCCTACTGTATTTTTATTTCAACCTCTACTTCTGAGTTGAGTATTTGGGCTTGTTTTTTTATTTAGCTTTGCAATGCTCACTTCGATTCATGGAAATGGAGTCAATATAGTGGCATCTGATAGTCTAGCTACTTTGTAGGCCATGGAAAAGAATGGAATGGAAGGAATTGTGAGGGCTGAGAGGTCTGTTTGACGTTATATGTGTGGTATTTGTCAATTCCTTTATAAGTGGTGTCATTGTACCTTAAAGCACAGGATTCTGCTGATATATTCTCTAGAGATTAGAACTTTGCTTTACCAAAAGGATTACGAAAAGAGATGTGAACTTTGTCACCATAACGATTGTCTTGCGAGTTTTGCAATTTTTTTTGTCTTGACTGGTCTTTCTTTATAAAAAGTTGACTTTTCTACAAATATGTGTCTCGTTCATGCCTCATTTCATCATTTACCCTTATTTTCTGATGTTAAAACTCCCTTTCAGTCACAAAGTTGTTTTTTGATAAATAGCACTGGAAGGCATGAAGTAGATGAATTATTCCACATGGTACTTATAGATGGTGTGTAGTTTCTCATTTTCGTAGTCCGTTTTCAGGTCGTCCCAGTCCATTCCAAGTAAACGATCAAAGGAAGAATTATTGCATGGTTCACAAGGTGTATCATCCTCATTGCAGCCGAAGAATGGGCATGCTGTTTCATAGGAAGTAACAAGATTATTTATCATAAAAAAAAGAGAAAATTACCTAAGATTGGAAAATGTGAATTCAGCTAAACATTTTGAGGTTATAGGCTCTAACACCGGAGTTCCCATACGCTCAGAGTATCTTTCTCTTGGTAAATTTGGAGTGTCCTGCCGAGGTGAATAATCTTTCCGTAATTTAACCTGTTTTTGAAAAGCAGTCTATTTTCCCTTGATGCCCTTTGCTTTTTTGTTTTTGTTTTGTCCTGCTTAGGTTTTTTTATTTTGAGGGTATAAGGTGCCTTTGGATCTTTTGTTTCTTCTTTGTTAGTATCTTTCATGTAGAAATCACGGTAGAGATGATTATGTTGACCTCCTTGCCCATACAAGTTCAGTTTTGTTTTGGCTGGTTGTACTTCCCTAATGGAATAGAGATATGGTTTGTGTTTTATAAATGGCTTTGATCTTGATATAGAAGGTTCATCTATGATAGACTGCAAGTTTGTTATTCTGAAAATGGGACATAGTATATTGTCAATCTACATGTTGAACTTTATATTCAGTATGATACTGTAAATCACATTTTTATGCCACAAACATCATTGTAATTCGATTTCCTTGATACCATTATTTCTTAGAACTTGGGGCTGAACAAGGTTGGGTTGAAGCGAGTAGGTAGTTATTAGAAGAAACAGGTGAGGTTCTTTCCTTTTTGAGTTCCCTTCTCCCTACATGTATGTTCTTTCCTATGCATTTGGTAAGTGATTACTGCTGGCCCATCAACTAGAGCCAAGCTTTGACTGTGATTGGTCTTCACTTGTGGTCAAAATCTTTGATGCCACGAAAAAAATTGATTGTGTTTTTGTAGAAACAGGTGAAATTTCGAGGTTCATTGTGTCCACTCATCACTAAATGATCATAGCATTGATGTGGGGTCTTGTAGTTCTTATTAAGTTATTGTATTTGATGGTTTGATGAATTTGATTAACTTAATGTTCCGTGTGCTGATGATGTGTCCCTCACCAGCTTTTTGAATGTGGTGTTGCGTATATGGGAGGACTCATTTGAATACAAAAAATGCACAACTTACGCTGTACGCTGTGTGTTTTGAGGATTTTATTATGGGTATAAACCAGAATTCAATTCAATAAGGGTGTTGGAGAAAGTGAGCTTGGTTATCTTTAGTTGTGTGAAACTGTGCCATATTCATTTTTCATAGTCACCTCTCTCTCTCTCTCTCTCTCTCCCTCTCCCTCTCCCTCTCCCTCCAGCTTTCTTGTTGCCTGGAATCTTCTGTGTTTTGACAGCTTGCAGTTGGTGAGATTTGAACACGGGCATCACACAGAATCACCTCACCCCTTGGTCGATATCCAGTCTAAAACTTATGTCGTGTCAGTTCCTCTGAAATGTAACCATATTTTCTGGAGACCCAAGTATTTAGGGATATAAAAGTAATTGTGCTGATTCCTGCAGCATTAGTCCTTCAGCTATGGTTTCTCAGACAGAAAGGACATGGAAGGGACAAGAGAAAACTGGTAGTGCTTCATTGTTTTGGACCTCCAAATTTTCTGAGTCCATGAACCCTTTGGAAGCAGAGCAATAGTTAAGAAAGATGTAATTCTTTTTGGATATGATGGACATCTACAGTTAATGGCAAGTGGTATAGTGGCTACATTCATGCTCAAAGATGAAGCTCGGTTTTGGTGAGAGTCCTCCAAGAAACCATTGAGTCTGCCAGTGGCCGGAACTCCCTCCTATTCCTGTGCCAATTTCTATCGGGAACAATTTATTATTGTCTTTAACGTGAAGTAATTGCCTATATCTTATTGCTATGAGAAAAAGAAAAGATTTCCTACAATTAAAGCAGGGAAGGATGCCGGTGGCTTTTAGAAACAGCCACTGAACATGTTCTTGCTGAAGCCCTTCAGAGTAAGTCTTTCCTGATTCAATAGAGATCCTAAAATTTCAATTGCTTCGACACAAAATAAGAAATGGACTTTCCAACACGTAAATGGTTGGGAGTAAAATCAAGTCTGTCGTATTGTAGAGATTCATAAATTGCTCTGCCATAGTTTTTAACATATAACCCCAATCTAGGTTTAATAGTACATTCCAACAAGGGCCGAGCACGCTTGTTCAATTTTTCTCTTGCATCTTGGATAAGTCTTGGATTCTCCAACGTGTCAAGTAGTCTGCTTTTAGTTCCATTCGCATAGCAGAAAGAAGAAGAAGAAGAAGAAGAATAGCCATAAGGTTGTGCTGATTGAATTTTCAACATCAATGCAAGAGTTAGAAATTAGTTGTGTGTGTTTTGAGTTGTCACTGGTACGCTATCAAGGAATGGTACAAAGAATACATTACAAAATCTCCTTTCACACTTCAACTGAGGTTTTTTATAAGCATCCCAAATACAACAAGAACCTAGGCAATCTTCTTCTTCTTCTTCTTCTCTTTTTTTTTTTTTGCTTGAGAATAGGCAATCTTTGAGATAGCATACAAGGTCATAATGAAGTAACCAAGTTCACATAAAAGCATACGAGGTTATGATGAAGTACCTAATGCACATATAACAAACACCAAGGAAGATATTTTAGTCGATTTGGAGCTGAAAGAAGCCAAAACTAGTAAGAAGTTTCTGGAGAGTTCTACAGCCAAAAGAAGCCAAAACTAGTAAGAAGTTTCTGGAGAGTTCTACGGCCCCATTGAACGTCGTTTTCCAAGACGTCTCCGAGTTGCTTTGAAACGGGTTCTGTTTGTTCATTGCCATGTAGTTGTTCTTCCTTGTCATTGAACATCATTTCAGCCGAATCTTTGGGATGTGACGAGTCATTGTCGTTTGGGATTTTCTTCATTTGGTTGGAGTACATGTGAAAAATCTGAAGTATGTCAACAACTTGCATCTGTGCCGTAACAGCCGAACATAATTATGGAGATGAGGAACTAAACATTCGGGGAGTGCAGAAAATTCTATGCGATTGACATTCATCAAAGTATACATTGAAAACATAGAATCCATTGCATATGATGTGACTAAATTGCGTTCATTAGGTGAGGTTACAAAAATAAAGAAAGGTAGCTTTAAGTTCGGAATTTAGAATTCAGATTGAACTCAGACCTGAGATTCATCTGAGCAAAGTTATCCCCGACCAAAAGGGGTTCATCCAAAAATGGATTTCAAGCAGATACAACAAAACTAGAACAGCTATTTTGGTTTGGAATCACCTTTCTTAAGGTCCGGCTTCAAGGGAATGAAGCAGATAGTTATTTCTTGCAGAGCTAATAGGCACAGAGGAAAAAAGAAGTAAAAAAAGCAAAAGCAGAAAAGAATCGACGCATGTTAAGCATTTACCTCTGGCACATTGTGCTCGTCAGCTTGTTTGTCGACACCGAGGGGAGCATTAGCAACAACGTGTTTTCTATCTTTCGATGGGGATGTTTCTTCAGTATCCTCTGTGGTTAATGGAGTCAAGCCTGGTATTAAAACCGGATCACCTTCATAGGAAGCCAGGTTTGCCTCGTCTTTTGTGTCTGGGAAACTCTTGGGAGTCCCGGACCAGTCATTATTTCCAAGAGCATTCTCTCCGGTAACCATATCCTTGTTTGAAACATGAACATGTTCTTCTTTAGCATAATCGACTGTTCTTGTTTGGACCCGGGGTTCTTTTACTGGATCAGTGATATTTTCTGCAACCATAGACAAAGATTTCCCTGGCAATGGCTTCTCCGTAGGATTATGAACACGTTCTTCTTTAGCATAATCAACTGTTCTTGTTTGGACCTGGGGTTCTTTTACTGGATCAGTGATATTTTCTGCAACCATAGACAAAGATTTCCTTGGCAATGGCTTCTCCATAGGATTATGAACATGTTCTTCTTTAGCATAATCAACTGTTCTTGTTTGGATCCGGGGTTCTTTTACTGGATCAATGATATTTTCTGCAACCATAGACAAAGATTTCCCTGGCAATGGCTTCTCCGTAGGATTATTTGTTATGATAACGGTAGAGGCTGATTCCTTGTCTACTCTTGCCTGACTCAAGTCTTCCACAACGATTAGCGTATCTGTATTACTTGTAGACTCGATGTTTTCAATAGAAGTTGGTTCTTCCTCTATGAGCATCCGAAGTTCATTGTAGTCCCAATTTTCAGAAACCAAGACCGTGTTCTTCGTTTCCCATGTCTCAAGAATCCGGTTGGGGCCTGGCTGCCACAGGATGTTCCCAGTACTTCCTTTTAGTATGAATTTGAACTGGATCGACTTCCCGATAGGTATATCCTGTTAAAAACATATTAATGCATTACACTACGTCAAGGTTTTAAATATCAGCCATTACATAACAGGTTCTGATACCATTATTGGTATATCTGTAGGCCATGTTTGTTTGGACGGACTGGATTAGCATTCCTATGACTAATAGTCCTAGGATTACGAATCCGTTGGATTATGTATCCTATCTTAACTAATAGTCAAGTTTAAAATAATTAGTCCGTACTTCAATTGTTTAACCAAACATCGGATTAATAATTTTATTGGACTATTAATTCAATCCCAAACTTATGTCCATCCAAACAAACATGGCCGTAGAGTATATGACTCGTATCACTGATATATCAAACATTTGGTGTTGAATACATAAAACTTCAACTAAATTGCACGGATAAGTTCTCCTCACCAGCTCGACAGTCCATACGTGTCCGTCTGACCAATCCAACGGTATTGCACTCAAAGGGTCCCATGAACCGAACATAATATCATCCCCCACAATGTGAAATTTCTCACCAAACGCACACTCCTTCTGCAATGGAATTTTGACATGAACGGTTTTCGATGTATCTGCAAAGCAAAAAGACATTATATTGATAACAAAAAATTGAAAAAATAAGAAAAATTGGGATATTTTTTTACTTGTATGTACCTTGGATTTGAGTTTCTTCATTCTGCAAGTTCTTCTGCATCAATAGGAATGTTATAAATTATTCACTTTTGTGCAGAATTGTATTGTAAATCATAAAGATCAACTACAAAATAATATATATATATATATATATATGCAGATATATTGTAATTTCTTTACATGACTTTCCTCTGTTTTCTAGGAAAATATCAGGATCATATATTATCTAGGAAACACTACTTGCTGGAAATTTGTTTTTTGAATTTAATGTGTAGCAAAATACAAAGATGAAAATGTTTTACATTTTTTTTCTTCTCAATATTTGTTGCTTAAACACTGAAATGACATGGGAGCTACATGAAGAAGGTTACAAAATAATATATATCAAAGATTCTTAGGCCACATAAGGAAGTAAGGAACTACAGGGAAGAACTAACTGAAGCTAAATGTTGCTCTGTTCACTGTTTGGTTGCTGAGAAAGTGTAGGAAAATGAAAGACAGGAGAAACAAAAAAATTAACTTCACAAAAGGAACTTAAAAAAAATAAAAATAAAAATAAAAATCTAATTTTGGTGCGAAATCAAATGCTTACATCTCTTTTCCACTATTTTTTATTCATAAAAAGGTTCCTCTGTTTTCTGGCTATCAAACAAACCACAACACAACCACATGTCTCGAGAGAGAGAGAGAGAGAGAGAGAGAGAGAGAGAGAGAGACCTGGGTCTCAGACGATACAAAAATAGGTTGAATCATCTTATGCTGCAGAGAAATCGAATGAGAGAAACCGAGTCTAACATGTGCTGGAGATGATAAGAAACGAATTTCTTGTCTACCCACAACATCTCTCGGAGAGTAATAGCCTCTGTCTCTGTAATTGTCTGAAAACACCATTGAAGACGAGCTCGATAGGGTTTCCATCACCACACCACACACACTTCACTCACAATCTGAGCTTTATGATTAAGTATTGATTGGGGGGTTTGTGTTCTAGAGAGAGAGAGAGAGAGAGAGAGAGAGAGCAGATCAAATGGGTACTAAAAGAATTGAAGAAGAAAAAAGGGAAACAATTATTTATAGATGAATAATTTTGTATGTATATGCGTAATAATCTGATACTGGTGCCTGGGATTTGATTTCTCATATATAAAGGGATATTACTAATCTAAAAAAAATATCCAAAATTTATTAAAAAATATTAACATGTAATTCAGATTTCTTTCAAGAAAATTTTAATATGCATCACCTTAAAAATGATTTAATTATGTTAGTTATGATTATTTTTTCTTTAATTATGTCTCATTTAGTTTGATTATGATAATTTTTGTTAGCCAAAATCTATGTCTTAGGCCTGTTTTGAAAAGTAAAAAAAAAAAAAAATAATAATTTTTTAACTTATTTAAGTTTGATAGTCTCCTTATTTTCTCTTACCTATTTTTTTAAAATAAATTAAAAAAAATCAATAAACTAATTTTTTTTTCCCCTACTTCCAAGCCTCAGCCTTCATTTAGGAAGAGCTAAAATAGTTTTACTTTTTAGTTATTTTAGTATGATTTTTTTAGCTTCATCTGATTTTTATTTTTAACTTTTTTAATTTTTATAAAAAAAATATATAATAATTATAATTTAAATATAATATTTCTGAGACCCCGTTTGGGAATAAGTTAATTTAGTAATTTTTTAGTTATTTGGCTAAAATATGAGTTAAAAAAAATTAGTATGTTTGGGATGACTTTTTGACTAGAGAATATTTGACTTTTTGACATGTATTGTTGACTTTTTAACTAATTTAATAACTTTTTGACTTTTTAACTAAAAAGTTCGGTTGCCAAACGAAGCCTGATTTTAATGGTGGGGACAAGTGTGAGAAGTGGATACAGAGAGAACGGATGACGAACCAGGTGGCATACTGGGAATCACCATGAGTTGAATTGAAAGTTGAATATTGTGGTGAGCATTTCGAGGGTTAGTTGGAAAAAACAAAACAATTTAAAAACTTTATTAATATTTTTGTTGGTACCAGTAGCTACATGTCAGCGCTCACGGGCGACGCAATAAATTTTCATGTGAAATTTATAGGGTTATTTTTAAAATTATTAAAAATATATCATTTTGATATTTTGAATTATAAAAATTTATAAAGTAAATTATAAATATATTTTTTAAAATTTACTTAAAATACAAATTATTCCTTATAATTATTTGAAAAATGATAAATATTTCACTGTCAAAATTTTTTATTTAACAAAATTAATTGAAAAATAAAATTCATAATTGTTTTCCTATACAATAATAAAATTACTTAAATTATTAATTGAAACATATTTTTAATATCATTAAAAGTTGTTAATTGATTTCATGATTTATTAATAAAAGGTTGATTTGTTATGAAATTAGAAATCTCAAATGGTGGAATGTAATTTTTAAAATCACATGGAGCAATTCGTATTTTAATCAAATCTCAAGGAGTGTATTTGTAATTTATCCAATTTTTTATAAATAGACTCTTTAAATTATTAAAAAAATATCATTTTACTTCTTAAATTATAAGAACGTGTCGAATAAATGATCTAAACTACTGATGTGTTTCATTTTGACTCTTTCTATTAGCAGTCCAATTGATATGTTTTTACAGTGTAGGGGATCAATTTGTACGCTTATATAATTTAAGAGATAAAGTTATACTTCTCAATAGTTTATGATGTCTATTTGTATATTTTTATAATTTAGGAGATCAAAATAATATTTTTTAATCGTTTAAGAGGTATTCGTGTAAATAATCAAAATTTATATTGAGCAAGGTTAAGGATAATAAAAAAAGGGTAAATTATGCAAATGGTTCTTATAATTTAAAAGATGTGTCAATTTGGTTCCTATTATTTTAATTTGCTCGATTTTGTCCCTTAATTTAACGAATTGTGTTATAATGGTGCAATAAATAACGACCGTTAGGTTTCGTGAATGGAAACTCAAACAATATGTCAATTTGGTTTTTGTAGTTTACACAATGTGTCAATTTGCTTCTCGTCAAAATCGAGTAAATTGAAATAACAGAGATCAAATTAACACATCGTGTAAACTATAACGACCAAATTGACACATCGTTAAGATCAACTTGCGCTCTCTCTCTCTAGTTTGAGAGCTTCTCTCTCTAAACTTTTCTCCCCCTAAGGTTTCCCGAGTTAGTGGCTGCTGGTGGTGGGGGAGGGGTTTCCGGCGGTGTCCGGCCTCCTCTCCCCCCTACCCCTCTTTTGCTCTTTCCATTCCTTTTTGCTTTCCCAGAACTTGGAAGCTTTGCCTTCCATCCTCTCCCTCCTTTGTGAGGTGTTTTCCCCCACCCATTCACTCCGGGAGTGGCCATCTCAGATCCGCGCCTTCACCGCCTCTGCACCGCCGTCTTCTCTATAGCCACCGCATTCTCTTCCTCGCCGGTCGGATTCGTCTTCTCCATAGCCACCACCTTCTCTTCCTCCCTCCTTTGCTGCTGCCGGATTCGCCTTAGCCGCTGCCTTCACCGACTCTTCTCCGCCGCCTCTTCCTTGCCGGTCTTCTCCATCGCCGGATTTGCCGACGTTGCTGCCGGATTTACTTGGTTGTGGTTCTATCTTGCTTGGTTTTACTTTTGTTTGTTTTTCTTTCAACGGTTTATGTTGTTTTTGGGTTTGTTTGGTTCTTAGAGTCCATCTGTGCGTATTTGTTTAGCTTACCCTCATTGTGGATGGGATCTATGATTTATTTCGGACATGCTCTATTGTCGAACTTTTATGATCGACTCTGCATCGCAGTACGAGCACGAGTACGATATGTACGTCTGAATATTTTCATAGTTTTCTTCCTTGATGCTTCTTGCATTATTATTTCTTTCTTTGGTGTAAGTTTTGGGTTATATGGACTCTTGTAAATACCGTTTTGGCTCTATTAAATGAAATATCTCTTCCAATCAAAAAAAAAAAAAAATCTTCTACCATTGTCCAAATATTATTATACAAGTTCTTATATTTTGGTTTTTGTGTTCCGATCAAAAAAAAAAAATTTGACACATCGTTTGAGTTTTCGTCCATCAAACCTAACAGTCGATATTTATTGGATCAATATGACACAATTTATTAAATTAAGGGACAAAATCGAGCAAATTAAAACAATAGGAATCAAGTTGACACATTGTGTAAACCACAGAGACCATTTATATAATTTATCCTAAAAAGAAAAAAGACAAATGCTAACAAGTATTCTTATGTATTGTTTAATGTTATAATTAAAATAAAAAGTATTTTAGAAATGATGAAAAAGTTAAAAAGTGTTTCAAAATGAGTAAAAAAACGTTACAAAACTAACGAAAAATGTATTGCATTCGACGCTTATTTCATCTGTTTCATATTATATTTTTTTTGAACCACTTTGTATTTTTTTTTTGTTAGCAAGACTCTAAAAAAAATTGGAAAAATTACTTATCAGTGGGTTTCCCAGAAAATTATTACTACAAAATCATGAAAGAATTTATATTTTCAATTATTAATGGGTATAAAATTTACAATTTATTTGCAATTTTTTTTTTAAAAAATATTACACTGAATTGAAATTCTCCTAAGAAAACACTAAGTGCCATGTGAGTGTTTGGTCAATTTCTTTAAATAAAATAGTTGGAAAAATTCTATGGTACACACTCCCTTTGAAATATGTAATATATGCACCTTATTTATGATCTTTGTGGTATTTGGTTGATCTATTGGAGCATTAGTTATAACTTAATTATATAAATTATGGTCTTGGTTATGACATATAACATTATTTGGTTATGCTTCAAGAACTTTTTAATTATACCTTTTGTGATGTTTGGTTATAACTATTTTTTTTAGTTATAATTCTCATGACTGAGTTATGACATTTGTTGTAATTATATCTACAAAATTCATAATTTACATATGGTACACGCTCTATAACAGCATTACCTAAACATTTGGGGCCTCTAGCATTATTTATTTGTATTTTGTTTCTTTTGACTTGTATTTTTTATTATTTGATTAATGAAAAATTAAAATTATTTTTGGAGAAATTACAAAAAACTACATATGTTTAAGCTTTTTAATAAAATAAATCTTAAAATTTTAATTTTTTTAATTTAATTTTTTAATATTTATTTTCAATCTAAACTTTAAGCTTATTTTCGTCCAGTAAAATAACAGAAAAATAGTATCTTAACTAAACTCAATGTAGATGTACAAAATATATTTAAAATGCCTTTTCTCATTAAGTTTAATTGCGAAAATATTTAGCATGCTTGGTTAGAGTTTTTTAAAAACTATTTTCAAGAAATTCTACTTTTAATGAAAAATTAAAATTATTTTTGGAGAAATTACAAAAAACTACATATGTTTAAGCTTTTTAATAAAATAAATCTTAAAATTTTAATTTTTTTAATTTAATTTTTTAATATTTATTTTCAATCTAAACTTTAAGCTTATTTTCGTCAAGTAAAATAATAGAAAAATAGTATCTTAACTAAACTCAATGTAGATGTACAAAATATATTTAAAATGCCTTTTCTCATTAAGTTTAATTGCGAAAATATTTAGCATGCTTGGTTAGAGTTTTTCAAAAACTCTTTTCAGGAAATTCTACTTTCTTATTTTTAATATTTTTTTTTATTTTTACTGAATTTTTTTAATATTTTAAGCAATTTTTTTTTTTTACTTTTTAGACATACCTAACATAAATATACCTAAAAAGTAAAAAATTTGTGAAAGAAACCTTTTAAAAATTTACTAAATACCAAAAATATAAAAAAATACGAGAATTCCGCACATATTTTGTATTTTTATGTATTTATTAATTTTTTAAAATATTTTTTCACAATTTTTTTATTTTTTAGATACATCTAAGTAAGGTGTATCTAAAAAAGTAACAAAAATATTTAAAATTTTAAAAATATTTATTAAAAACAAAAAAATACAAAAACTAAAAAACTCAATTTTTAAAAAATTTAATTCAAAAGACTCAAACTAAACACACTGATTACCTTTATAATCAATTTTACTTAGGAATCTTTTGGAAATAT